AACCCATTCATATATGTGAATATGTATTATGTTTTCAGAAAACTAAATGTTCCATATTCTATCTCTGTTATGTTCTTTGCTTTTTTCCCCTTAATGACATATCTTAGAGAAATTCTCCATCCTTACATATGGAGATGACAAAACAAACAAACAACAACAACAACAACAAAAACAGTGGCAGGTATCATTTTCTCTTGCTTGGAAGGATCATGATGTATTTCCTTGATACCTTTATTATGGACATGTCCCCTAAAGGCATTTATCCCAAACCTTCTCACATCTAATTTTGATTTCTGCTCTGCAACTTACCTGGGTAATGAGTTTGTCATATTGAATCTTTCCTTATATAACCAACCCCTGAAGGAAGAATCCAGTTTAAAATATATATATATATATATATATATATATATATATATATATATATATTTGTATAAATGTATACAAATGTATATAAATTGTGTGTATGTATATATGTATATATGTGTATACACACACACACACATTTTACACAGTCCTGGTAACTGGATTTAGGTTTTTCTTGCTGCTAATAAAAACCTGGAACATTCCTACAGTTGCTGTTACTTTCCCAATGTCTGATCTGGGGGCATAGCCAGAACAGAGTCAGTCTTGTTTGCTTGTACAATGAAGGCCAAGCGACTATAGAAATAGATTCTAGCTTTGGCTCTGTCCACCTACCCCCAGCCTGCTCTGTGACCCTGAAGTTTGCCTTCGCATCTCTGGTCCTCAGTTTCCTCAGTTGTAAAACAAGAATATAGGACTAGATCAAGGGTCAGCAAACTTCCTGTAAAGGCTACACAGTAAACATTAAATTGAAAGACAATATAGTCACTGTCACAATTACCCAACTCTGCTTTTGTGTCATGAAAACAGCCACAGACAGTGTATAAGTGAATGAGCATGACTGTGTTCCAATAAAACTTTATTTACAAAAATAGGAAGTGGGTGAAATTTGGCTGACTCTGGGACTAAGGGCATATCCATATCTTAGTTCCTATAAATCTGTGAAGAGCTTTCCTCTTCTACTTAGGGGAAGGAAAGGGACAAACACCCACCCAGTGCTTATAGTGCCAGGCACTCACTGGGGACTGTGTAGCACTTGGAATCCTCCTAACAATTCAGTTGGGTAGGTAACATGGGAAAACTGAAACTCTGAGTGGTTATATACTTTGCTTACCCTCTTCCTTTTGAGCCCCTTTAAGCCTCCTGTTCTCAAGCCTCAACGCTTTTTTATGTTGGATTAAAAAAGGTTCTTAGCCTTGTCAACCTCCTGCAGTTGTTCCAAAGGTGGAAAGAGGAAGTCCCTTAGAGCAGTCCCGGCCAAGGGAACAGAAGAACACTTTGGAGTGCTGGGGAACAGAGGGAAGGCAGGGTGGCTGGTGGTCAGTGATGGGGGCAGGGCAGAGGAGGGAGAGTGGTTCAAGCTGAGGCCACAGAGGCAGCACCTCACACAATCCAGTGAAAGTGTTCAAAGAACCATTTTGGCTCCTGGGTGGAGAATCATTCTGTCTTTACAGAATTTCTTGTTTTATGTGAGATGGATCCATTCATTCATCTATAAAAAGGGTGAGTGGAAAGTGCTTTTCATGATTATAAAACTTAGTTGTGAGTGGAGAGAGGGGGTTGGGAGGCAGCATGGAAACCAAAAGAGACCTGGATTTGCCAACTCAGAGACTTGGCTCTGTGATCTTGGCTGCTCACACAGACTCTCGTTTCAAGTTCCTCGTCTGCCAAATGTGACTGCTTACCCCCCTCACTGCATTTCTGGGTTGCTGTAAAAATCTGGTGGGGTCATCTTGGAAGGAGCCCTCTACAAATGTGAAGTATGAGTTAATATCATGTTATTATTATTGTTATTATCGTCATTGGCTTATCTTCTACTGCTGGGCTTGCTCCTCAGGTCTGTGAATTTATTGGAAGGGCTGTGTGACCCTCCTCTTACTTCTCCTTGAGTTAGAGTTGATTGCTTTGAGCCTGGGGCATTAGAAATCCTTTGAAGACCAGGCAGGCCGTTTTTTTCCCTACATGACCTGGGAGCTATCTCTTTGAAATGTGAGCGCAGCCTGACACCATGGAAGAGCACTGAGCAGGAGGTCAGATGGTCTGGTTTGCAGCTTTAGGCTCTATAACCTTAAACGGCTTGTTACCTCCAAAGGCCTGCATTGTCTGATGGGTTTTTATCTGTAACAGGAGTCTGTGGCCTGGACCTCAGGCCACACCGACTTCCTTCCCCCTTCCAGAAGCCCTTCCCTGAACCTCCTCCACCCCCGAGGCTGGGTGAGGAGAACGTCTGGAATTACACACCACATAACATATTTTCTTGTCACACATCAGACTTGAAGTTCCCTAAAGCCAAGGTCAAGTTTTCTTGGTAGTTGTCTGGTATGTGGCTTAGAGCGATAATCCCATCACAGTAAGTGTGTGAGCACAGTTCTCCCCATTGACAAAGCATGCACTGCCCCTGCACATGTGTTATTAGTGCTGTTGAAGTATTGATTTTATATCCTCTTTTGGTAGAAAAGGAAATAGGCTAAAAAATAAAGCCACGTGCCTATTTTCACAAGGCCAGAGGTGACTGAGCTGGGAATCAAAATTAGATTTTTTAAGAGCCATGACATTTCACTGTTAGGTACATACCTACCCAAGCTCTGCTTGGTGACCTGGTTTTCCCTCCTTCAAACCCATTTTCTTTAGACTCCTCAGAGCTGCTAATTGTCTGTTAGCCACTCTGATCCACCCTTCCTGGTCCTCTTGGTACCCTTTGAGGCTGACCTCTGGGCGCACTAGCCAGCTGGGAGGAGAGTGGTCCCAGTGGCCCCGCCCCCTTCCTCCTTCCTCCCTGCTGTTTTGGCAGACAGCTGGTTTTCCTTTACTCAGCCTGCAGCTCCTCCAAACAGGTCCCTTCCTTCCTGTATTAGGTTCGCTTGGGTTTCTCTAACTCTTCTCCCTTCTTTTGCCCCTTCGTGCCAAGGTTTGGTGAGCTGCCTCCCTCTATTGCTCATCCCCAGGATGCTTCCAGCCCTGAAGGTTTCTTTTAAACTGTCCGTATCTCAGCAAATAGGCCCTTCTTTGAACCCATTTTCAGTTCTTTAAACATTCTTCTTCAAACTCTCTCCTTTGAATGGGCTCATTGTTTCTTTGCAGGACCCCAATTGCTGCTTGTGCCCCAGCATCACCCCCATTTCTCTTTGTTTTCCCTCTGACGCACCAAGAAGTTACATCTCCTGGCCAAACCACAGCTCCAAATGTCCTTGCCTGGCCACTCTCCAGGGGGACTGATTTAACTAAAATGAAATGCAGTTTTAACCTCTTCTCTCCTTGAGTACCTTTAGTGGGGCGGGCACTCAGCAACAGTCCTCTAGGGCTTCCTGCTTAGAGACAGCTCCCCTCTCAAACTCTCTTCCTGTCTGGGCAAGTCACTATCCCCCTCTGGATTGGGCGTGGCATTCCATCTAATTGTCCTCTAGATCAACGTAAGTGTTTTCTGGCTTCTGACAACATAGGGCATCTCAGACATCATTTTGGGCAGAGGGAGTGTTTCCTTTCAGAAGGCAGGAGAGCGCAGATTACTGGAGTCGCCCAATTCCTCATCAAGAACAACTGTCTCTTTCTGGCTGAAGATGGACAGAGTCCCAGAGTGTCAACTGGATGCTGCAGTTTGGCTTCCCACGAAGCAGCCTTGGCGATCTTGGGGTCACAGCCTGAGTTCTCATGCCCTGCCGTGCTCCTCCAACATAAACAGCATTTCTGGGTGGCGTGCATATTTCTACATTTTGTGAATGATAGCATGTGGCCTTGGAGGCAGCTGCCTGAATCACACAGTCTGTTTGCCAACCCTGATGAGGTAGTGAGACTTACACACTGGCCTCTCACAGTCTCTGCTCTGAAATTGGCCAACACTGCTTGGAAGCCAGGTTTCCAGTTAAACCGACTAAAAAACCTGTTTATGCCACAGAATGTAATACTTTGGACTGAAATTAAATCAGTCATTAACAGCTTATGCAAGAGCATTTTTAAAAAGGGGTATTACTTGAAAGGCATAGTCTTTAGGCTTTAAGGTTTTTTATGTTCCTAGTTCAGAATTATGTTTTTGACACCTTGACACCTGTATCCCCTCATTGTTCTCCTTAGACCGCACACACACACACACTTTTTAATATATATATATATACACATATATACACATTCTTTATGTATATACACATTTATATGTATATATACACACACATATTTATGTGTGTGTACATTTATTTATTTATTTATTTATTTACTTATTTATTTATTTGGCTAAGTTCCTCCTGACTCCACTTACCCCCACCTCTAGCAAGACATGAATGATAGACAATCTGGCAGGCAGTTCTTTCTGGAACATTGAAAAAGAACTGTTCTAAATGCAAGTAAGGGGGTTGATTAAATACATTATTCTACATAGATATAATACAACCATCTATATCCTCATACTGCTGTAAATTTATTAAGAATAAATTCAATGATAACATTAAGATGCTCAAAATAATCCCATCTTATTAAAAAACATGAAATGATATACCCCAAAATGTTAACATTTTAGAGTGGTTACCTCTATGGGGCTGTGGGTAATGATAATTACCTTCTTTTCCTAATCTGTGCTTTCCAAATTTTTTCAATGGCCATTTGCTAAGGAATTTAATCAGTTTTGTTTTTTGTTTTTTTTAAAGGAAAGGAACTTTTCCCAACTTATCAGTGTACTATGATTATAATTATCTAAAAATATGTGGTTTGGTTCCCATATAAACATAAAAAGGGACAATTCATCCCCTGGAAATATTGAGAACAAACACCAAGTTGGGCCTCTCCGCCCTCAGATTGGCATTTCCTTTGCATGCTGAAGCTAGGAAGGAAAGGAGGGCGATGGATGAGGAGCTCTGTCCAGGGTTGCCTTAGCTTGTAGGTGCCGCAGACGGTCTGCTGATAACCACAGGGCAGCTCCAGGCCTTGCTTACCTGGAACACGCAGGCTTCTCCTTGGGCTCTGAGCTGACCAACGAGCAGGTACGTGGTGAGTCCTGCCAGGATGGGAAGCGACACCAGACAACAGGTGAGAGCACAGCGGGTGCTGCTGCTGCTGGCTGCTAGCCTGGCTCTGGCCTTGGGTCTGCAGCTGTTCTCCTCGGGCAGCATTTCCACACTGGCTGTTTCCTCAAAGCCCAGCTCCAGATCCTCTGCCATTTTCCTGCTGGTCGTGGCGACAGATCTGACTCCTGGGCAGAGAGACCCCCCATTAAATAGAAGACCAGCTCTCACAGACGGTGAATTAATCACTGCCTACTCCTCCCCCTGGCCTCTCCTCCTCTCCCCTCCACAACGCACTGCACCCCGCCCTACTAGGGAATGCGCCGCCTACAACAGAAACTAAGTTTGGTTTAAGAAAAAAAAAAAAAAAAGAAGAAGAAGAAAGCTTCCCAAACAAATTTATGTACAGTGTGCTCATGTGCTCCTTTCTTCGTTTACAGAAGGAAGTCAGGAAAGTCCCTGGAGGAAGAGAAAAATAATTTATCAAGTTCGTAGGTGGGGCAAATTAAAATATACCTGTTTCTGCGGTGGAGACCTGCCAGCTGTGCCAGTCTGGAAAGTGTGCTTCTTCTGCTGGAAGTGAAAGCGAGGGATGGGGAGGTGTGTGCTGTGGGTTGCAGATTGGGAAAGGGAAATTAGGTTTGCATCACCACTGTGTAAAGTGCTGCCAGCCCTCCGTTTTTTGTGCCTCATAGGAACCCATTTCCATTCATAGATGAGAATACCGAAGGTCTGGAAGATAAAGGCACGTGGTCCAGGCCACCCAGGGATTAAGGCAGAGGATCTAGGAGATAATCTAGTTCTCCTAAGTCATGTTTTGGGGTTCTTGCCTCTACCACACATGTGAAAGGAAAGTGTATTTCTAGCCTGTGTTGACCCATCGTCTGAGCAAAGACTATGAGATTATAGAGGTGACTGTCTATGAGGAGAGGACATTGACTTCTACTCTCTGATTAGACTGAAGCTGACTGAAGGCCAGTGATAGGAGTTGCCCATAGCTGGGTGTGTATGGGGGCCACAACATGTAATAAAGGCTAACATTTATTAAACACTTGCTTTGTGCTAATCACTGTTCTAAGTGAGTTCAATGTATCAATGAAATTACTCAAGCTTGTAATGTATTAATGTTATTATTCCCATTTGCCAGTTAAGGAGACTGAAGCACAGGAGGGTAAGCAGCAAAGCCTGGATTGGGACTCGAACAGGCTGACTCTGCAGTTTCTAACCACTACACTGCACCGCACCTGTTGCTGTATGATGCATTTACAGGGACACCTGCACCTGGGTCATCCCTTCCAGTCGGGGGATGGGGAGGCTTCCTGATGAAAAGGTGGCGCTGGAGTTAGACATTGAAGCTTAGGGAGGGGGATATCAGAGAAGAGTAGGAGGTCCCTGCAAAGAGATGGGTTATAGAAAGAGGAAAGGTCCTGTGGCAAGCAGCCTGACTAGTGCCTCCATTCAGTTGCTTCTTTTCTTATATCACAGCCAAACCCCTTTAGGCTACGTGGAAAGGCCTTTTATGAGTCGGTCTCTGCCCACCAACACCCCTCCCCTCACCCCCGCCCCAATGTCCAGCCTTATCTCTTACGACTTTCTCATGCTGCAGTTTCCCCCAGCGCACTGTGGACTAGCTGCTCTGTTGCACATGCTGTTCCCTCCATTGTGAAAACTTACAGTCAGTCCTTTCTCTTCATATCACCATGCTCCCCTATTTTTTAAAACTTCACATAAAAAAAACTTTCCTGCATCTTCCTACCTCCAAGCTTGGGTGAAATGCTCATCTGTGTTCTTCCCCTATCACTGACTATTTCGTACTAGCCTGTGATTGAGTATTTTCCCATCACTTCCATTAAACCGTCAGATCTAGGAGGGCAGGTTCTAGGTTACATCCCTTCTCTGTGACTCTAGCACCTAATAGTGACTGTCACAAAATGGACTCTCAGCATCTATTGAAATAAGCATCTAACATATTTTCAAAGAATCCCAGCAAAGAATGATTTTTATGTCTCTTGGTTACCCATTCGTAGTTAACAAATCTAGTAAAAAACTTTTCCTTGAGACTAACCTAAATCTTTGCTGTTGTAACTTTTAAATACATAATCACACTTAGTACTTGATCATCTTAAAGGGATTTACAAATGTGTTCTTACCTTTGTATTTCTTTTTTAGGAAATTGATGTGGCTGATCAAACCAGGGTCTTAAAAGTGGAAAATGTATGCGCTCAAATGAAGTGTTACATATTATTATCCACAACATAAAAGGGCCATGAAAGATGGTGAATACTAAAAACACCAGATTGGGGATCTGGAGAACTGGGTTTTAGTTCCTCTATTCTGGGAGCCTGAGAACTCGAGTAGACTGTCTTCCACTCTAATGTGCTAGGCTACTGCCAAACATGATAACTAAGCTTGTTTTAATTCTATTTAAAGTGTTAGTGGATTCTGTGTTTGTGCCTGCGGAATGTCCTTTCGGAGGAGGATAAGAGTTTTAGGTCATGGGCCTATAGACATATCTTTGAGATAATTGTAGATGTAGATTCACATGTAGTTGTAAGTTTCCCCCAAGGTAGCACCTTGCATAAGAGCAGTATAATGTCACAACCAAAACATTTTCAGATTCCACTACTTTCATTATGAGCACTCGTTTGTGTGTATATATTTAGTTCTGTGCCATGAATTGCCTGTAGGTTCAAGAGAGCATCACCAAATCCAGATAACAGAAAAGCCCCCTCACAAGGATTCCTCATGCTGTGTTTTGCAGTCCCAGCTACCACCCTCCGTTCTCCTCTTCCCTTAACCCTTGGCAACCTTGCTCTTGAAATCGATGATTGTGTTATTTTACAAGTGTTATGTAAATGGAATCATGCAGCCTGGAGCCTTTTGAGATTGGCTTTTTTCACTCGGTGTGGTTTTAATTGAGATTCATCCAAACTATTGCATGACTAATAGCTCATGTCTTTTGATTGCTGAATAGTGGTCCATGGTATGGATGTACCACAGTTTGTTTAACCTTTGAAGGACATTTGGATTATTTCCAGTTTTGAGTTATTATGAATAAAGCTGCTATGAATATGGTATACAGGTTTTTGTGTGAACAAGATATCTCTGGTGTAAAAACCCAAGACTGAAATTGCTGGGTCATAAGGAGGCACTGGTTCAGTTTTGTAGGTTACCACTATATCTTTATCCAGAGTATCATCGTACTTCCCACCAGCAATGTGTGAAAGATCTCCCTACATCCTCTCTCCAGCATTAGTGTTATTATTATTTAAAAAAAAATTAGCTGTTTTGGTACGTACATAGTGATATCTTTATCACTGTGGCTTTAATTTGTATTTTCTAATGGCTAACAATGTTAGATATCGTTTTACGCACTTATTGTCCATCTGTGTAACCTCTATGGTGATATACACATCTATTTTGACTGCTACAAGGTACTTCTCACTCCCTTCTTGATTTTCAGTGCATTCAAAGGTGAAAGTAAATAGCTTACAGATAAATCATGAGTTACTGCACTTGTGTGTTGGCTGTATACAAGATGATGTTCTGCGTATTAGTGGATAAAGCAGTGAAGAGAACAGACAAAAGTCTTTGCTTCCATGAAGCTTATATTCTAGTGAGGGAGATGGCAGTAAATAAAATAAATAAGTTAAACTTATAGTATACTAGATCGTCTTAGTGCTTTAGGGGGAAAGAACAGAAAAGGGAAATTCAGAGTTAATCCTCCTCATAATTTAAAATGAGATAGTCAGAAAAGGCCACCTTTTCAGAGAGGAGATGTTTAAGTGAAGACCTGAAGTGAGGGGAAGCCTTGTGGGTATCTGTTATGAGGCTGCTCCTGGCCTTGACTCAGGTGTGTTCTAGGAGGATCAGGGTGGCCAGGGTGGCGGGAACAGTGCGGGCGACAGTGGGGGCTGTGAGGTCAAACAGTATTGCAGGAGGCTGGCCATGAAGGGCCTCTAGGAATGGGTAGGATTTGGCTTCTCCTTCTGGGAGGTGGGGAGTCTCCGGAAGGTGAAGGGCAGAAGGGTGGTAAGCTCTGATTTCACTGCAAAAGGATCATCCTGGCTGCTGTGCTGGGAGTAGCCCGAGGAAAAGGGTAGAATTGGGGAGACCACTGCAATAATCCAGGCCAGGTGCCATGATGGACTGAATAGGCTGGTGATAGTGAGGGTCACCAAAAGTGGAGAATTCTGGATATATTTTGATGTAGAGCAGACATAACTTCTTAACAAAGAGAAAAGTCTGGATCCAAGGTTCTCAGTTGGAACATTGGAAGGACAGGGATGTGATTAGTGGGGGTAGAAAAGGAAGCTTGAGGTTCAGATCAAGACATGCACCATTTATGGTAACTTTTAGACAACCAAGTGGAGATGACATGCTGGGGAGGCGGTTGGATGAGTCTGGGGTCCCAGGGAGAGGCCTGAGTGGAATATTAATTTGAGAATCTCTTTTGACACAGCACTTACCACATAGTGCTCCAAAGTGGAGGCTCCTCTTGATCACAGGTCCTGAATTCCTTAATCCTAAATCCTTGGGGCCAGGTTTTAGAAAAGTATTAAGTTGAGCCATTTGAAATTACCATTATCTGACTATTTTTTACCTACAATAATAAATTCATGTGGTTCATCCTAGTAATATACTCTATATGCCTTATATTATATAATACTCTCAGTGGGGTCCAGAAGAGCATCCTATAGTCAAACACAAATATTTCTGCAGCCTAGCATACTGAGTGAGATGGATAAGGAGACACACACACACACACACACACACACACACGCCCCCCCCCCCCTCAAACACTCCCCCCCTCCCCCCTTTCAGGTCAGTGTTGTTGCCAAAGCAGTCATAATAGCTTTCAGATTTTTAGTTCTTTTTGGAGTTTAGATTGTGGATTTGTATTATCATCATTGGTGATGGTGTTACTATTTTACCATTTTGTGAGGCATCCAGAGAGTTGAAATAGGCTAGGGAACAGAAGATACTGAGAGGCACATTTCAGCTCAGTTTTAAGATCATGTCAGTGCTCCTCAGTGATAGATCATGCTGCTTCCAAAGGTGGGAGCTCTCTGTCCCATGAGATATGCAGATTCTGAACAACCACTCACTGGGGACATTTGGGAGGAAATCCAGTTTAAATTCAGAGATGATTGGAGTTGATGTCTTTTACCTGTCTTGATCTCACTGAGATAGGATGACTCTTAAGTCATTTC